GTTCCATTTATGAAGTTACCTAAGCGCTGTTTTAATCCTCCGTTCATTAAGGGATGACCTTTAGAAAAGATGTCTGCAGGTGGGAAAGGAAATCTGTTATCAGCCCTACATGCATACTTGTAGCATACTGTTGCTGATTTTTGAATAAAAAGCCATACCCTGTTGTTTTACCAAGTGTTGGATGAAGGCCATGCTAAGTGTGTGTGAACATTTTCCAAAGCCGCATCAACCGCTGTGGTTTGTAAGCATACTTTCAATTCTATTCAGTTTATTTCTATAGCTCCAATTCACATCATGTCATCTCAAGGCACTTTCCAGTTCACCAGATCATCCAGTCAGATTGATTCAAAGTTTTCTATCTAAGGAAAACCAGTTGATTGCATCGACTCATTGACTCTTCAGCAATCCCTCACACTGAGCATGCTTGTAGCGACAGTGGAGAGGAAAAACTCCCTTTGAACAAGAAGAAACCTCCAGCAGAACCAGGCTCAGTGTGAGCGGCCATCTGCTGAGGCCCACTGGGGTTCAAGGAGACAGAAGCAGACATAGAAAAAGAAGCATAGATACAAAAGGCAACTGTCAACCAGCTCCATAGGCTGGTTGACAGTTGCCAGGAAACACACAGCCAGGTATCTGAAGTTAATGCATATGGGAGGAACTTATACACACATTAAAAAGGGGAATTGTAGTTTCCCACAAGTAGAAAAAGGATTTGAGCGACTGCTTAAAAAATTATTTCAGATTACAAAAATCCTCACCTCAAACACAGACAGATGTTATTCACAGAGGTGTTAAAAGTATCAATGTTTATTCCTCCAGTAAATCCTGCTGTTTAAAAACACTTTTGTAGAAGTTGGAGGATCAACTTCAGCTTTTTTTCCAGTAAAAGTGTAAAAGGTACATTTTTAAAACTACTTTAAAAATAAAAGTAAAAATAATGCAGGAAAAAATGTTAATGCCAGAAGCTTTACTGCTCTACTCTATTAAAGGAACATTTTTCTACAATTCTAGATGATAACTTTATTTTCTTAGTTTTATAACTAATATTAACAGTGTCACATTTAACTTTGCATCATCTTGAAAAACAATTTATTTTGATTTGTGGTGAGCAACAAGTTGGGGCAGCACTGAGTCCAACCACAAAGAAATTGTCTGGATAAAACTCATTATTTTCATGTTTTTTTTTTTTTTAAACACCAACAGGCCATGATTAAAATGAGCTTAAAGGAAACAAAACTAACAAGTCTATTTTTTAAATGTAAGGAGTAGAAAGTTGTCTAAAAAAATATAATTATTCCAGTAAAGTATAGATAGCCAACATTTCTACACTGCAAAACATTTTAATCTAAATAAGTAATTTTTTTTTTTTAAATAAGTGCATTTTTTCTTGAATTGAGGAGTTAAGTTCAACACTTTGCCAATGGAACATGACAACTTACATTTGAAACAAGAAAAAACAATTGAATTGTCTTATTTTAAGTGTATATTATCTAATTATCTTATTTTAAGAGAAAAATACTAATTCCATTGGTAAATCATCTTATCAACCTACTCAAATTAAGTGTAAATACGCTTGATTTAAGAAATTTTAACTTATTTTCAGATCGTTTTTGCAGTGTACTGAAACTAACAAAGTATTTGTACTTTGTTACCTGACACCTCTGGTTATTCGTGTGTGTAACCACTTTACTAATGATGAAAAAAAAAAAAACTGTAACCTTTAGGTGAAATTAAACGGATGTTCAGGAGTACGACCAAAGCTCCATGAACTGGAAGTAGCTGGAACATCAGGGCAGAATGCAGCTGATTTGGTCTAATTTAGCCCTAGGCAACTAGGGGGCCCTAGTTCCTGGGGGCCCCATAAAACTCATTTTATATGTATGGTTAACACAACTATTGCTTATTTGTGAACATTAATTATGGTTTTGATAAAAATAGCTAAAATGTCATCAGAATGCTGATAATATTAAGTGTGTCTCAGCCCCCCCCCTTCAGTGTCCACCATATTGGATCAGTCCATTTGCTGCACATGTTCAGAAAGGTCCAAACAGACAGCAGCAAACCATTTGAAAACAAACCATGCAAAGAGCAGTGTTGCCAACTTAGCGCTTTAGTCGCTATATTTAGCCACTTTTCAGACCCCTCTAGCACTTTGATTTCTAAAAAGCTCCTAGCGCCAAATCTAGAGACTTTTTTCTGCTACTGGAGACTTTGGAGACAACATCTAAAAGCAGCGAACTCTGCTCTCCAGAGCGAGTAGATTGGTAACCCCGCCTCCTGCTCTCCTCTATCTTGTCTGCTGTCATGATTCATGCAGCTATTATTTCATCCAAATGAAAAATGGAGAACAGATAAGCAGATCATGGCTTGTCTACAGTGAAAAGAAGGACTGGGTTATTTACTTTGGCCTTTTTGGAAACACAGGAAGGAGCAATCAGCTAAGTGAGCTTAGTGCTTGGAAAAAATCTTTCATTCCTTTAGAGACAGCATGAAAAGTCAGCTGAGTACAAAACATAGAGAGGAAGACAAGACGAAAAGGGACAAGAAGAGAGGGACACAACCTAGAACAGATAATGGATGTCTATTCTATTAACATTTCTCTATCTGTAGAATGGGGCTGTTTGATGTGTTGTCTTCTCCATTCAGAGGGGCCCCTGCCTGTCATTGCCTAGGGCCCCAAATTTCTTAAATCCGCCCCTGGTCTGGATAAATGATTACTACTCAAAGGAGAAAATTATGATTTGATAGGATGATGGTGATGGCTGAAGTATGGTGTGGGCTGGCTCTACTGCTTGTGTGTTTCACAAAATGGATGGAATAAGAGTTAATTAATTTTGTTTTAAATGATTTATATAACATTTAAAATTTGGATCCAAGGTGACCTGACATTATATATATATATATATACTAAGTGGAAAAGAAAATTGTTATTTTTAAATGTGATCAGAGTGCAGAATTAAATATATAGTTATAAAAAATACTTTTCTATAATCCCTCCAAACTAAATTAGTATAGCTATTGGTTCTTTATTAAAGGGATATTCATTCAGAGATGTTTCTTTGCTTAACAATTCAGTTTATTTCTATAGCGCCAATTCACAACACATCTTAAAGGAATAGTACACCCAAAACATGATTAGCCTTCATTTTCTACTCACCCCCATGCTGAACAAAACTCTGGAGTACTTTTTTGATATCTCAAATGCATCTGGAGATCTGGGAGGCTTCTTGCTGTCTGCTGACATTCAAATAATGGAGGTCTATGGCGCCCGAGACAGAAAGGTCCACAAAAGTCCACAAAAACGTGTCAATATTCCTCCATACTGCTCGTCCAATGTAATCCAAGTGTCCTGAGTGGGTAGCGTCCATAATTTACTCGAAACGAAGTCATTTAGAACGTTTTAGAGCCTAAACAGTAGTGTATAGGATTTCCTAATAGCGCCCCCATGCGCGCTCACGATTCTACGGAAGCCGGCAGACCAAACCGGAAGGAAGTGCGCATTCAGCGTCTGCTCTGCCGATAATGCAAGCGTAGAAGAAGAAATGTGCTGTTTACCTGTGCAAAGAAAGAAACAACGAAAGAAAAATGTCTGAGGACTTCAGTGTTGAGGAAGAGCATGAGTTCTTTGCCGAGCTGAATGCGCTGGTTTGGTCTGCCGGCTTCCGTAGCGTCGTGAGCGCGCATGGGGGGCGCTATTAGGAAATCCTATACACTACTGTTTATGCTCTAAAAACATTCTAAATGACTTCGTTTCGAGTAAATTATGGACGCTACCCACTCAGGACACTTGGAATACATTGGACGAGCAGTATGGAGGAATATTGACACGTTTTTATGGACTTTTATGGACCTTTCTGTCTCGGGCGCCATAGACCTCCATTATTTGAATGTCAGCAGACAGCAAGAAGCCTCCCAGATCTCCAGATGCATTTGAGATATCAAAAAAGTACTCCAGAGTTTTGTTCAGCATGGGGGTGAGTAGAAAATGAAGGCTAATCATGTTTTGGGTGTACTATTCCTTTAAGGCACTTTCCAGATCAACCAGATCATCCAGTCAGATTGATTCAAAGTTTTCTATCTAAGGAAAACCATCTGATTGCATCGACTCATTGACTCTTCAGCAATCCCTCACACTAAGCATGCTTGTAGCGACAGTGGAGAGGAAAAACTCCCTTTGAACAGGAAGAAACCTCCAGCAGAACCAGGCTCAGTGTGAGCGGCCATCTGCTGAGGCCCACTGGGGTTCAAGGAGACAGAAGCAGACATAGAAAAAGAAGCATAGATACAAAAGGCAACTGTAAAAGGCGGAAAAACCTAGGCAGGCAGACGAGCTCCGAGCCAGCTCCCATGTCAGAGGATGAAGAGAGCACATCCAGTTAGTCACAGTCAGAGAAACAGGACTACACTGAAAAACAGCGAACATCTATAAACAAAGGTGTTGATGGCAGCAGCACAGCTGATGTTTCTCTCCAGGATGGAGTCACAGCCAAACAGGAACAGACCGGGTGAAGCTAAAAGCAAAGAGAACAGAACGTTAGAGATTGAACTAATAGATTCTGCAGAGTGGGAGAATAGAGATAGAATGAAGCAGAATGATGAAAAAGGGGTCCCTATGCTATGTCCTCCAGCAGTCTAAGCCTATAGCAGCATAACTATAGAGATAGCTCAGGATAACCTGAGCCACTCTAACTAGAAGCTTTATCAAAAATCCATCCATCCATTATCTGACAGTGCTGTCTACGGGCGAGAGGCGGGGTACTTTATCTAAAATGAGTTTTTACATTTTTTAGCAATTGTAAAGTAGAACAAAGACCACAAGAATCCGGACAAAGTGATTCAATTACAAACAGCAGGGATGCTGAGGTAGGCATAAAGCTGTCACTATGCCTGCTTTTGAGTTTTATCACTACCCACTCAGAGCGCTACCACGCCAGACCATAAAAACATTCCGGTTCTGATCAGAGTCCAGCAGTTCCGTTTTTCTGAGCGAACGTGAATGCACCACGGGGCATGTACTTCCTGTTAAGGAGGCGCAGTCAGCTGTCACAGTCTGCGAGGCGAGAAGAGGGAGCAGAGCGACGACAAACACAGCAGCAGCCAAAATGTCCAGCTTCTCCACCAAGTTCAGCGGCTACACCATGACTCAGCTCAACGAGTTCCTGGAGGACGACGAGAAAATGTCCAAAATGGTCCAGGAGATGGAGGAGGTGAGCTACAGCCGCGCGCTGGGTTAGCTGCTGCTGCTTCCTTTCTTTTTTTCTCCGTCTGTTTTTTTCCTTCTTCCCTTTCAGCCTTTGTTGGTTTGTTTTTCCCAGCGCAGCCTGGACACAGACACGGAAACAGCTCGAAATCACCGATTCTGTTTAAAAATGAAAATATAAAAATATCAGCCGACTGAAAATGACTATTAAAGCTGTCTGAGGAGCCATTGTTTAAGTTTGAACTGAAGATTCCCAGCTGGAAGTTGTTGTTTTTTTTCCACCGCTGGTCTGACTGTTATGTTATCAGCGGAACCATTTTATTCTCTTCTCTAGATTAAATGGTGCTAATTGATAATAAGTGGTAAAGTGGTAGCATTAGCTGTTAGCTTCGCTTCAGCTACACCTCATCATGATTCACAGGTAGAGCTGCGGGTCCAACCGACCCGTTCCGGTCCAACAGCCGAACCTCAGAACCTTTAACCCCGATGAACAGTCAGGAAGGAGGGCAGAGATCCACCATCCATCAATACATCTCTGGAATAGAAGCTGATAAATCCTTTAAACATGTTAAAAGGGCATGAAATTATAGATTGTAAAAAAACAAACAGATATTTAGATATATGAACGAATCCATATATTTCATAATCAAAGTTATCCTTAAATCTTAGGTTATAATAGCTTTATGACTCTGAATTAGATGGTTTAGGGTTTATTTTTCTACCTGCAGTAATTTTAACTATGGGCTGCAGGATATTGGAGAGCGTTACCATGACGACGGCTTCTTTTCTCTCTTTCTAATGTTTTTATTAAAGTAATTTGAGTCTGGATTGAACTGCAGCCACGTGACTGTGCAAACGGGTTTAATATACACCAGCATAGAAAACGGAAGCTCAGAAAACCTGAACGATGTTAGGCAACAATTGCTGCCGTCCAAGCAGTCCTCCTGTTGCCATCAGGGTGAGGTCTGCTGTTTGGGTCACAGCGGGTCTGGTTAACCTGACTGCTGGGGTCCATCTACAGCAGGGGGTCGGTCTACAGCAGGGGTCAGTCTGAAGTGGAACCATTAAATGTTTGGGTCAAAGCGATTCCAGTTAACCTGGCTGCGTAGGTTGGTCTACAGCGGGGGTCAGTCTACAGCAGGGGTCAGTCTGAAGTGGAACCATTAAATGTTTGGGTCAAAGCGATTCCAGTTAACCTGGCTGCATGGGTTGGTCTGCAGCAGGGGTCGGACAGTCTGCAGCAGGGGTCGGACGGTCTGCAGCTAGGGTCGGACGGTCTGCAGCTAGGGTCGGACGGTCTGCAGCAGGGGTCGGACGGTCTGCAGCAGGGGTCGGACAGTCTGCAGCAGGGGTCGGACGGTCTGCAGCTAGGGTCGGACGGTCTGCAGCTAGGGTCGGACGGTCTGCAGCAGGGGTCGGACGGTCTGCAGCTAGGGTCGGACGGTCTGCAGCAGGGGTCGGACAGTCTGCAGCAGGGGTCGGACGGTCTGCAGCAGGGGTCGGACAGTCTGCAGCAGGGGTCGGACGGTCTGCAGCAGGGGTCGGACGGTCTGCAGCTAGGGTCGGACGGTCTGCAGCAGGGGTCGGACAGTCTGCAGGCAGGGGTCGGACGGTCTGCAGCAGGGGTCGGACGGTCTGCAGCAGGGGTCGGACGGTCTGCAGCAGGGGTCGGCATGAAGCAGGGGTCGGACGGTCTACAGCAGGGGTCGGACGGTCTGCAGCAGGGGTCGGCATGAAGCAGGGGTCGGACGGTCTACAGCAGGGGTCGGACGGTCTGCAGCAGGGGTCGGACGGTCTGCAGCTAGGGTCGGACGGTCTGCAGCAGGGGTCGGACGGTCTGCAGCAGGGGTCGGCATGAAGCAGGGGTCGGACGGTCTACAGCAGGGGTCGGACGGTCTGCAGCAGGGGTCGGACGGTCTGCAGCAGGGGTCGGACGGTCTGCAGCAGGGGTCGGACGGTCTGCAGCTAGGGTCGGACGGTCTGAAGCAGGGGTCGGACGGTCTGAAGCAGGGGTCGGACGGTCTGCAGCTAGGGTCGGACGGTCTGAAGCAGGGGTCGGACGGTCTGAAGCAGGGGTCGGACGGTCTGCAGCAGGGGTCGGACGGTCTGCAGCAGGGGTCTGACGGTCTGCATCTAGGGTCGGACGGTCTGAAGCAGGGGTCGGACGGTCTGAAGCAGGGGTCGGACGGTCTGCAGCAGGGGTCGGACGGTCTGCAGCAGGGGTCGGACGGTCTGCAGCTAGGGTCGGACGGTCTGAAGCAGGGGTCGGACGGTCTGAAGCAGGGGTCGGACGGTCTGAAGCAGGGGTCGGACGGTCTGAAGCAGGGGTCGGACGGTCTGAAGCAGGGGTCGGACGGTCTGAAGCAGGGGTCGGCATGAAGCAGGGGTCGGACGGTCTGCAGCAGGGGTCGGACGGTCTGCAGCAGGGGTTGGACGGTCTGCAGCAGGGGTCGGACGGTCTGCAGCTAGGGTCGGACGGTCTGCAGCAGGGGTCGGACGGTCTGCAGCAGGGGTCGGCATGAAGCAGGGGTCGGAGGGTCTACAGCAGGGGTCGGACGGTCTGCAGCAGGGGTCGGACGGTCTGCAGCAGGGGTCGGACGGTCTGCAGCAGGGGTCGGACGGTCTGCAGCAGGGGTCGGACGGTCTGCAGCAGGGGTCGGCATGAAGCAGGGGTCGGACGGTCTGCAGCTAGGGTCGGACGGTCTGCAGCAGGGGTCGGACGGTCTGCAGCAGGGGTCGGACGGTCTGCAGCAGGGGTCGGACGGTCTGCAGCAGGGGTCGGACGGTCTGCAGCTAGGGTCGGTCTGCAGCAGGGGTCGGACGGTCTACAGCAGGGGTTGGTCTGAAGCAGGGGTCAGTCTGAAGTGGAACCCTTAAATGTTTGGGTCAAAGCAATTCCAGTTAACCTGGCTGCGTAGGTTGGTCTGCAACAGGGGTCGGTCGGTCTGCGTGAAGCAGGGGTCGGTCTAAAGTGGAACCATCAAATGTTTGGGTCGGTGCGGGGAGCCTTTCGGTTCAGTGACTTCCTGTCGGCTTACATCACAATCAGAGTTTTAAGCTGTAATTTCCTGTTGGAACGTTTATGCAAACATGGCTAAAATGGACGATGTCGTCAGACTGCTGTTAAAACATTTCTCTGGTCTCTAATTAAGGAACTTTGAATGAAAGCAGCAGGTTGACGGTAAGGAGGCAGGAAGTATGACGACGGTAAGGAAGCGGGAAGTTTAACGTTTTAAAACGCTGACATGGTCATCCTTCCCACAGGACGGTGCATATTTATACGGTCTTTGAATGATTTCCAGCCTTGGTTAATGGATGGTCTTCCTGGGCTCATTAAGGGACGTTTCTTTATGGCTTCGGGATCTTTGCTCCGTTAGTTGCTGAGGTAAATATCTGAACTCTGAAATGCCATTTATGATGAAGCTGGTTTGCTTTTATGGAACGCCTCTCCTTCTGTTTTCCATACGCAGAGCAGTTTCCAGCTGAACTCTCTGGAAAAGCTTCAGACCTATAGTTTATTTTTAGTTTATTTTTTCTCCAGAGCTTTTGGTGTGAATCCTCTTTGGGCTAAACAGGTTTTTCAAAATGCTCGTCTGTCTGAGAAATCTCTCCAACAAAGCTCTTTTTGTTCTTCGGTTCAGCAGTGAAGCTTAAACTTGTTCCCGTTTTCCCCTAACTTCCTCTCGCCGACGTCGTCAGGCCACAGGAATCTGGTCGGTCTGTTGTCATGGTGACGGGGGGTCGTCTCCCTGGCACCCTGATCTGATCCAGGGATGGGGGGGGGGGGGGGGGCGGCTGTTGAAACGCTGCTTCTGCTGTTTGACATCCACACCCTGCCTGCCTGTCTCCATAGTTTCGTTTCTTCATCCCACAGGTTGGCGGGGGAGGAGGGGGGGGCGGGGGCGATGACGCATCGGTTGTTGACTCAGGTTAAGTTATAGGATTATGGGAGAGAGTTGGCCAGGTGAGTCAAAGGTGGAGCTGTAAGATTCTGTATCAGGACAAAAGGCTGTCGGACGGTAATGAGAGGAACCTGAGCTTGGTGGGAAGTGGGGCGGCGGTGAACCTGAGCAGGCGGGCGGCGTTCGCTCGCTTTGAATGATGCAAATCCTCTGATGGGCGCTTTGAGCTCCAGCAGAAATCCACTCTGGAAGCGTTTCAGCTGCTGTTCTGTAGCTGAACTTTGGCTCGCTAACGCCTCTAAAGCGGTTTTATTTGTTACCTGAGGATAAATCATCATCATCATCCAGGCTGTTTATTTAATATTCACCCCAAAATGCTGAAATAAAAACGCATATGATGCATTATCTAAAAACTGCTATTCCATCTAAACTAAACATCATTCAGGGATTGTTCTTGTGATTAAAGTGATGAAGGTTTTATTCTCTGGTGAAATTATTAAAAACTGGCTCAGAGTTCATCGATGGGCTGAAACAATGGATCAGATTAATCGATTATTAAAATAATTGTGAACTAATTAATCGAAAAATCGTTAACTGGAGTCTAGAGACTCTAAAACATGATGACAGAGCCACCCAAGGCTTGTAAAAAAAAAATAAAAAAACACACACATGAAAATATATTTTTCAAGTTTAGAAGCTTTAGCTTCGGCTGACAGGCAAGGTGCAGCAGCGGGTGGGGGAGGGGCCACACTGCATCAGGCTCAGATGAAGAGAGAACTGGAATAGGTGAGAAATGCACTAAAGCATTTTTATTTGTCTGAGTCTGAACTGGACGGATTAAAGAAGGAAAAACTAATCTGGATCAGGAACCCAGAGGTTCTGGGAACCTGTCTGGGTCACAGCTGTTCATTTAGAATAGAATAGAATTTGACTTTATAATCATTACGCTGTCACAAGTACAAGTACTTCCTCCAGAAGTTAAAGAAGACTCCAGTCAGCAAAGAATAATCAGTGGATCATTATTTATACCTAAAACTAATACGTTCGCGTTGATTTAAAGAATTTAGCGTTAATCAGTCAAAAAAATTAAAACAATTTTTTCGTGGCGAAGACCGAGTCTGGGAGCGGCCATTTTTGCCCAAATCTAGTAGCCCCTCCCTCCTGCCATCTTCCAGCAGTGACGTCACGGTGCGGTAAGCCTAGCGCCATTCTCCCCGCTTTCCAAGCTAAATCAATGGGAACTACTAGACACATCTGCAATCAACAACAATTATTGAAGATTTCCAGAGGACTTCACCATTGAAATTCACCAGAGCTATAGTGAAACTGACAATGCCCACGTGCATGGCAGCTGGATGCTGGAATACATCGGGTAAAAGTGAAAAGAAAAGAGTTATTCCACCTTTCTGATTCCTGATCCTCCACGGACGGGTTGGTCGTTGGATCGCCAACTTGAAGAGGGAGGATTTGCCATCGAACTTCTGGCCAGAGAAAAAACCCGTAATATGTGGCCAACATTTGGAAGAAGAATGTTTTCAAGATGACTTGGATAGTAGCGCGTTGTGACAAACACCAGATACAGCACTGGGACTTGATCAACAGCTGATACCGCACAGTGACGTCACTAACCAGTAGGTGGCAGTAGTGTTCTTTGACAAACATGGATGCCTCCAGTAAAGCACATTCACATGGAAACTACTTTGAATTGAAAAGTGTGTAATAATTTCATATTTAAAGTACTTTTAGAAGCTTGTATTCCGAATATGAGCGACTTTTCCTTTAAGAAAATTTCTGGGTTCGACTGCCGAAGCCATAATAATAGACAATAAGCCCAAAGCATGGCGACCGTGAACAGCTGGAAGAGTGGGTGGGTTCTGCTCTCTGCGGTCGGTACAGGAAGACGCTTTAAATACTTTTTCTCTCTGATGGTTTCGGTACTTTTTAAAAAAAGCAGGAAACCTGACAGAAAGTTTTCCCTGCAAACGAACCCGTTCTCTCAGAGATGGGGGGGTTTTTAGCTGCTTCTCTGTAATTAGAGCGAGGACCGACTTCCCTCAAGATGTGGGAGTTTTAAAAATCCCAACGTGACGCTTCCAAACCTGGAGGTGTCTTTTCTCCCAGCAGCTTTCCTGCCCAGTTATTTCTGACCATCTGACGCTCTGACTCATTCCATAGCTGCTCCCACTTCTTCATCACTTTAGAAAGTGGCTTTATGAAGGAGGCAGGAAGCCCCCATATTTTTCTCCTAAAAAAACGCTAAATAACCATAAATATTGCTCATAATTTTTGATTGCTTCACTTTACAAACCGCGCCCCATAGTATGTATCCCATGCGCCTTTTTTCTTCCTCTGGCATTTTTCTTCTTCTTTGACTATTTAAGCCGATATTTATTTTGTAAATTTCTCCACTCAATCAATAAAGTTAATCAATCAGTCTTGATCTAAAAGGCTAGAAAAACTTTCTAAAATGCAGAAGCGAATAAACAGCAGGATCGATAAACTCTGTATTTTTTACTGACATCTATCAATGATCAGTCTGATTTAAAAAAAAAAAATAAATAATTTAAATTGAACAAGAAAAGCTGTTTACTTTATATCAGCAGGTGCAGTTTGCTCCCTTCACTCTTCTAAGCTTTAAATGTGTAAAACCTCAAACCTCAGTGTTGAAGTTGAACCATTTCAGTGGTTTTCTACTGAGCTGCATGGATCTCTAGCTTTCATGCAGCGTCTCTGATTTTCCCATCAGGCTTTATAAGATTTAACTTCACTGCAGCTGAAAGTCTGCTCAATGCTTCTGCATTTTCCTCTTCTCTCTTCCTCTCATCCATTAGATTGCCTCAAGGGCTAAATTAACATCAGCTCGTTACAGTTCCTGTCCTTCATGAAAAGACTGACATGTTGGTTGGACGGTGTGCAGCTCTAACCTGCTCCTGCTGTTTACTGATGACAACATCTGTGTCTGTTGTAGATGCAAGAGGTCCAGCAGAACAAGGAGAAGACGCTGGCCAACAACCGGACGCTTGCCGAACAGAACCTGACCCTGCAGCCCCAACTGGAGCACAAGAAGGAGCAGCTCACCAAGAGCTACAGCCGCCTGCAGGAGGGCTTCGAGTCCTATCAGCTCCGCAAGTCCAGACTGGGTAATGACTGGGAGGCATGGTTTACTGATCCGTTACGATACTCCGTTTAAAGTCATAGGGAAATCATATTTAAATGTCAAATCATTCTGACTTAAACATGTAAATAAATGTTCTCTGTATCAGATGATATTGTCCCAAAATTTAGAAAATTTCTATTTAAAAAAATTAATTCGGCCAATCATATATCAACGGTCATCTGTCAATCAAATGTTTTCAGTCATAGCATCTTGATTCATATGTCACAGCTAATATATGCAACGGTTGAAACCAGAATCCTTTCCTTTCCCATTGAGTTGCGTCCCAGTGTTCACAGGGATGGACGTCTGTGTCTTCGGTAGGCGTAGAGCTAACAGAACTGGCAGCGTTGCGAGGCAAGGGCTCAAACATGTACGGCTGGAAGCCTTCTACACCAAACCAAGCTTCTGCCGCCCTGGCGTCCTCTTCCACAACTTCTTCGTCCCCGCTTTCCTCCTCTAAATAAAACATGGATGACGGAGGAGACTCATCCACGACCTCCGAAACTAAACTCTCCTCCTCTTGCATGTTTCCGCTGTCCATAGCGTTCCTTGACAGCGTCGTTTCTAAGTCACCAATTTAGTGCTACTTGGTCCCAAAGGAATTTCCCATTGGGAACCTACTAGCATTAAGATGCTAACTGGTTAGCAAGATGCTTCCGACAAACCGGCCACAACCAAACTTGCTTGCGAACCCCTTGATAATCAACCAATCACATTCACTTTATTTACTCGTGTAAAGTCGGGCAGCAATTGGCTTTTCCAACCACTGCATTTCCAAATTCTCCCATTTCTCTACGACTTTAACTCCTCCGGGTTTAGAAACAGCAACCCTGGAGGGTTTATCTGTAGATCTATAAAGGCTTACTTTTCCTATCTGGCAGTAGAAGCTGCAAGTTTTCCATCCAACACATGAATTTCTGCACTAAACCGACGCTAAACATCGTTTATTTGAAGTAATCCAACTATAAAGCATCAGGGATTATAAAGCCTTGTATCAAATCAAAGCTTGACCACCTTTGCAGCCGTTCCAGCGTGTTCCTCCAGACGACACGTGTAGGTACCAGATTGACTCGGGCTGCCAGATTGACTCGGGGGCCTGCGCCTTTTGAGATGCGTCAGAGCGTCCGCCATCTTAAATGTGGCAAATCTGCAGTTTCTCACTCACTTAAACAGTATCAGAGGGACTTTAATCTCTGAATATACTTTGTATTCGTAGTATTTTTGGTTTTGTAATATTACAAGTTTATTTTTTGTATCCCTTTAGCTTCATTCTCCTGAATTTATTGTCGTTACAAATGCAGACCGCGGGCTCAATGTAGTTTGTTTGGGTGGCGTTGCCATAATGTGACGTCATCGGGAGGCGCAAGGCCCATGGCGAATTCGGTGACGTCATCGGAAGGCGCAGGGACCATGGAGAATTTCTTCGAAAAATTGTCCGTTTACAAACCGCAATCCCGCTTTCGAATAAAACCTACACCCCGCTATAATTACTTTAGTAAGCTGTCCAGACCAATCAAAATGTTTTGCGCAATTGTGCAAACGTTAAAACAATTATGTATTGTGACATCATCAAAAGGCGCAGGCCCCCGAGTCAATCTGGTACCTACACCGGCATTGATCCCTTGATCCAGGCGAGATGAGTAACGCATGCAGGAGTCATTTATTTGATGACCTGCAGAAGGTTTAGTCCGACCTCTGGAAGACCTCCTTTTTATTAAGAAATGAAAGTAAAGATTTCTTTTATTGGGTATTTATGTTCATAATTTTCCATTTGGAGCAACGTGATGTCTGCTTCAGACACCAAACCCTGTAAAACTAGAATTTACTAAAAGCAGAATGAAATAATCTGAATTCAGATTTTAATCCAGTTTAAGTATTGTCTCCTGGTACGTAATCGTTAGTTCAGAAAGCTCAGAACAGACCTTCTTCCCTGTGTTTCTTCTCATCGTAGAGTTTTACTTCTAGAAGTTAAATTCCCTCCAGTCCTCAGTGTTTGCTGTTCTGCTTCGGAGCGATCTCCGCCATGGATCCTCTGCAGTCAATGAGGGCATTTATTTAGCCTGTGCAGGGCGGCGCGCTCACCTGACCGCCTATATTTAACCCCATTGTTGTTTTACCACAGCTGATCTAAACAGATTAGATCTACAGCAAACAATCGCAGCATGCATCCAAATTCACCAATTATTCATTTATCCATAAAGTTCCCAGGATTATCAGCTGAAAATGACTAAAAAGTCCTCTCCAAATTCAGGCATTAATAGCTTTTGAGCCATTTGGAGTAAAAATAAAGTTCTGGGCTCTTTGTATAAAAAAAAAACACTCTGTAGTTTTCTCCTGTTCATTCTGATTTACTGTAAGTGTGCTGCTGTATATGTGGTGTGCTTCATAAAACAGCTCTGACTGTAAAAAACAATTCTCTCCTGGAGTTTCTATGTGAAAATAATTAAGAATTAATCTCCAGCAGCCAGGAAAGTATTTGACACCATAGAAATACTGTCTTATATCCTGGCAAGCAGCCTTCCAAATGTGTTTGGAATATCTGCTAAAACAGTATTTCTACGGTCATCTAGAACTACGCCAGGAGTCACCAACCAAAACTGCTCAAAGAGCCTTATTGGACCAAAAAAACAAAAATAAATCTGTCTGGAGCCGCAAAAATGTAAAAGTCTTATACATGCCTCGTGTGGCACCACGGGCTCTAAGTGTGTTATCCTGCTATAGAAAAGGAATATGTGGGCTTAAATATATAATATGCATTCTTGATTAAATGTTTATCATGGAGCAAATGTCACATCGCAGCATGAGGTGAGGGAGGAGCAGCGAACGCTCTCACCGCGCGCTGCTTTACCGCCCTTCACCGTGCGGTTTAGGTTTTTTTGCATTGATTAAATCATAGAAACATGATGAAGGAATCTTTCTATGGAGGACGTGTTTCTGTTGGGAGGGGTTGATGGAGTCATGAGGAACCGAGCAGGAACTGACGTCCATCAGAGCAGAGCTCTCTAACCCTGAAATCCCACATCCTCCGTCACCAGCGTTCCTTGTTGGGATTTATATTTTTAGGAATTGGGGAAAAAATGGAAGAAAGTTCTCATCCCTGCATCAGAGCGCTACCTGTTGGATCTATGAACGGTTTTCTATGCTTCAACCAAACTAGCAGCAGTAGTGGAGTTTGGAGATGTAATCAATTACTCAAATCTATCTTTGCTCTCCTCTAATTTATCCAGAAGTTCTGCAGATTTAGCAGCTTTCCCTGGAATTGTCTTTTAAAATTACTATTTATTTTTTGACAACCTCTCATTACAAAGCAAAGATGCAGCCAATCCTCCTGCATTGATAATGAAAGCAAATGATTCGCTCCATTCTTCTCTGAATCCTCTTTCCTCATCAGATATCTTCGTTTTTTTTCCCCCTCTGGGATCCACGGTCTGAGACGGACCCACGGCTTGATTTCTAAGTTATCACCAGTGATCTCTATGGCAATGACCCAAATTGTTTACATTTATTTATTATACAAATGTTTACAGCATTGGAAAACATCATTAATTTGTGTTTGACCTCCTGCACACCGTATTAGAAGAAACATAACAAAAAAAAAATCGATTTTCATAATTTTTTTTGAAAAAGCTCCAGGGAGCCGCGAGGGGGATGTTAAAGAGCCACATGCGGCTCCGGAGCCGCGGGTTGCCGGCTGTTATTCATTGGCTACACATTGATGTCACTCACGTGGAGCTGAGTTTTTACTGGTTAGAATAGGAGGGCAGAGAAGGAAGTCAAAAACTGTAAAAATTGACGCTGATTGGCTTTCTGCTGTTCCAGCCTGCCCCCATCGTCCTGTAACTGGTCAAACAAGCTGTCAATCAAGCCAGGACTTCCTGTTTGAACAGGTGGCAGCATCGAATGCGTTGTTTTTAGAATCTGGTAGCTGGAATTTGGAGTAAAAATGTGGTGGTGTTTTTCCCTGAAGATAAGTTATCCTGATGTACTTGTGCCTTTGTGGATTTTATACGACGATGTTTGGAGCCGTCATTTTACCGGATTATCTTTTCTCTGGCTGTTTCAAGCAGAAACAGAGCAAACTTGGAGGGAAATAGCTGAGTTTTACCCTTGGAACGAGTAAAAGGTAAAACATGAACTTTTTGAGTTTTGTCTGCTGTGTTTGTCGAGGTTCCAATGCTTGTTATTACTGGAAAGAGGAGAACGAGAGCTTTCTGTAGATATGCTATGTTGACATTGAAATACTCATATGTACATGCGCTGAAGGTTCAAAAGCCCCCCTGGGTCGCGGGCGGGTTGTTTGGAACTCAACAGGAACTTTAAGAGATTAAATTCACCAAAATAAGCAGAAGATAAAAGCTTTTCTCAAGCGTTTCTGGGAAAATATCTGGATGCCAAAGAACAAAAGTCAAAGTTTTATGGATTTAAATTAGAACTGAAGAAGAGCAGAGCGGAGACAGAAGCAGTGAATCCAGAGGTAAACTGATTGCCTAACGCTGATGGCTCCTCTCACAGTATTTCTACACCAGAATTCTGTAATCGGGCCCAACTATGGCTTTCAGTTACAGCGGATTCACCAAAGAGGAGGTTTGTTTTAATATATGAGAAAAGTGTAGCTTCATCTGATCTGTTCCTGTTTGGCTGTGACTCCAGTCTCTATAGCTTAGACTGCTGTCCTCCAGCAGTCTAAAATATAGGCTTAGACTGCTGGAGGACATAGGGACCCCTTTTTCATCATTCTGCTTCATTCTATCTCTATTCTCCCACTCTGCAGAACCTGTTAGTTCAATCTCTAACGTTCTGCTCTCTCTGCTTTTTCTCATAGTAGCTTCATCTGGTCTGTTCCTGTTTGGCTGTGACTCCATCCTGGAGAGAAATATCAGCTGTGCTGCTGCCATCAACACCTTTGTTTCTACAGGTGCTGGTCATAAAATTAGAATATCATGAAAAAGTAGATTGATTTCAGTAATTCCATTTAAAAAGTGA